GGGAAAAAAAGAAAACAGCTTCCTAGGAATTGGTATAGGTAATGTCGCAGATCAACACGAGATACTCGTATAATTCGTGAATATAGTCTTCCAATTGTTAAACTAGAGGTGGGGATATCTGCACCCAGTGGCGTACCGTAGTGGGAGCGGCAGGTGCACTTTTTAGGGGGAGGCAAAATTTTACAATAATAATATCTTGTAAAAATTTGAAACATCCTAATCTATACTTGCATCGCGCCTACGATAGTGCTATCGTCCGGACAATCCGGGAATCGGCTTGCAGTCCGGGTGAACTAGTAATTTTTTCACCCGAGGAAATCCTGCGAAACCTATTGACTTTTTTTTTATTTTATTTTTCTTGTACGATTCATTCGCGTTCATATACACCACTAATATCCAATAGAACTATTTTAAACAAGTCACTGCACTACCACCGAATTTTTCATTGCTTGTTCTGTGACAAAACTGAAATTTGGTCTTTTAANGGCAAGTATATAGAACAAACTGTGACAGTTACTCCAATTGAAATTCTGACTGCCACAGCTTGCAAATCAGTTGTTATTTGAATCGGCAAGGATGGGATGTGATTTGAAACTACAATAGCCACACCTCCACTGGCACGGTTGTGGCTATCATCATCCTTGCAGTAGACATCAAATCCTTTTAAAGTAGTTCTATCTCCAGGTTTTAGATGTGTTTCCTGAAGTGCCACACAGAGAGGTGAGGTATATGATGTCAAGTGTTTAATGTCAGAGTTGTTGCGGAAACCACGACAGTTTCATTGAATTATTTTATAATCCATTATGTGTTTGAGGCAGCAGTCTTCGCAAAAGTGTCCCTCTTCAATTTTACTGAGGATTTTCCTTTTGAAGGTGAGGGTGGTTGGGTCCCCTCCATATTATTCTCTTCATCAGAAATATCAGAGAACTCACTCATGGATTGAGTCTCTGATCTCTTTGATTTAGAGAGGGCTGCTTTCAATTTTTGTTTGTTCAGTGGGTTCTTATTAGCCTTTTTAAAACCCACATTTCTGGTTGTTACCCCTGTTTTAGTTACAGGAGTTTTGGTCTTTGTGTTTGCCATTTCTTCTGCTTGTGTAGGTGGGATCAGTAAACATCTTGCGTGGCGAGTAAGAGATTCACTTGGTGATACAGAAATATCTGTTTGAACTCCACATGTTTTTGTAGCTTTCAAAACAGAAGCAAATGTTTTTTGTTTTAATGTTGTAGTTTGAGTGACTGACCATGCGGTGGGCTTCTGGGTATGGTATATTATTTGTGGTTTTTACCCGTTGAATCTCCTTTTCTCTCTGCCATGCAGGGCATTTCCTTGAGTAGACAGGATGGGCATCTTTACAATTCACACAGCATGGAGAATTGGTGCACTCGATACTCTCGTGGCTTTCAGTTCCGCACTGTGCGCATGTACTTTTCCCACGGCAGAATGTTTGTGAATGTCCAAATCGCTGGCATTTGAAGCAACGCAGCGGATTTGGAACATACGGACGAAGTGGGCAGCGCAGATAACCTGCTGTGATAGCAGATGGCAAAGTTGGTTTGTTAAAGGTTAAAATTAAGTGTTTAGTAGGAATTAACTTGCCATCTCGACGAATGGAGATGCGTCGAACAGCAGTAACACCTTGATCTGAAAGACCAATCTGGATATCTGATTCATCCTCAGACATCAGATCAATTTCAGATATCACACCACGTGAAGAGTTCAAACTTGTATGTGGTGTGATGGTGACTTGTATGTCTCCTAGAGACTTCATTTTCAAGAGTTTTTCTGACTGTTGAGGGGAGGCTGTTTCCACAAGTAGATCTCCTGACCTCAATTTTTGGATTTTTTTAAGGTGCCCAATGGTCGACTCAAAAAGTTTCTGGATTAAAAAAGGAGAGCGTTTAGACAAAGGTGTTTCTCCTGTAGCGTGAACAATAAGGTAGGTTGGTTGATTGGAGGAAGTGACCTCCTTTGGTGGCAGTACATTGGTAGATGTTTCAGATTTTGAAGAATTAATATTTAGAGATAATTATTCAGCTCCTAGTGACCCCACCCACCATGGGGCCCAACAAGGGGATGCTGTCACATGGGAGAGTCCCATAGACTATCACACCAGGGTTTCCCAGGAGCTATACCCTCACAATGCAGTCAAGAAGAGCACATCTTGTCTGACATGTCTGCCCAATCTGCATCGATCGGTTGACTCCAAGCCGAGGTCAAGAATGACTCAACGACCAGCCGATTGACTCAAACGGAGCCTGATTTGAGCCTCCCGTTTATCCGAAGCAGGGGCCAATGCAGTGTGTTGGGGACGTTATGTTGTCCCTCAACTACCAGGATCCCCCTTTCCGGCATACGGGACACCACACACAGCAAACACGTGGGTGGGTGTTCAGATCCCAGGGATGGTAAAGAAGAGTTACTAAACCATCTCTGGGAGGTCCCCTCACCACGGACAGGAACCCACATCGAGGGGTATTCACTTAACTACAGTAGAGCGTCGTTTATCCGAACCAATTGGGGACTGGGGTTGCTTGGATAACTTATTTTTCAGATAATCGATTATGTACGAAAAAATATATTAACCTATCCTGAGTTGAAATTTTTCTCCGTTGCGTGTCGCTTTGCGTTGAATTTTCGTCGATGTTAAGCCTAACGTAAACTTTTTAAAATAATAATCGTGGCTATTGTATCGTTAAAAATTATTTCTTTATTTTTTACAAACGAAATAAATATATTGAAAAATATAAAAACCAAAAAATATATACTTTAGAAGTTGATCTAGTATCAAAAATACTAGATCCATCCCAAGTACTGACCGGGCCCGACGCTGCTTGACTTCGGTGATCGGACGAGAACCGGTATTTTCAGCGTGGTATGGCCGCAAAAACGTTCGATTCAGCATGACACAGTCCTCAGAAAAACACCAAACAAAAATGCTAGGGCTGCCAGCTAAAACACACACACCAACAAAAAAAATATTGGAGTAGCCCAAGATATAGCCAAAGATTGCAGCGCCACAGCACTAGCGAAAACTTAAATTTGCCGATTGAAATGCTTTCGGTTAACCGACGTTTCGGATAACCGGCTTTCGGATAAACGACGCTCTACTGTATTGGGAACTGTCTATGACTGATTGACTAGTTGTGATGTACTTGTAAGGTGCCACGACTGAATGACAAGTGAGTTATCCATTGCCTTTGTGACTATTTTGAAATCCTATATTTTATCGACTTGTACATTATGACATTTAACCCGTATTGAAAATATCAATGTCTGTATTTCAATAAAAAATGTTTCAGCATGCTTATATGTGCTTCTGGTGCTCTTGTCTGTGTTTCGTGCCCCACATCTTGTACAGCACAACCTCTTTTATAAGTGTATTGTAATCACGTAGGCCTATATACATGTAAGGGATTGCATTCCAGTGATGTTATTGTACTGTGTACCTATTTTTCCTCTGTATTTTACCATTATATTGCAATTAATTCTGTATTTTGTAACATTTTTAACTATTTGTATCTTTATTATTGTAATTTGTTGCCACCGGGTAGTGCTCACTGAGGAACCAGGCATGTATTGTACCATTGTGCGTTAATAAAAATGAATGAATGAATGAGTGAATGTATTACGTATGTTAATCCATTTCTGCTTTTTGTGCATGTTCAATTTATTCTATGAGAAATGCTGGTAAAGCAATCATTTGGAATCTTTTTCACTTGCTGTGTTTACTTTTGAAAACATTTTTATGTATATGATTAACAGAATACAAGTAAACAATCATTACAAGGATTTGAATTTCGATTTTATTGTCGAAGATAAGTCAAAAGTAAATTGTTACCAGAGCCTCTTCGGCCATCGGCCGTATCGACCGATGTTACCGCTTCCCGGGACGTAGGCCCAGAGGTTGGATTTTGGGAAGCGTGTTCGTGTTGTGAAACGGTGTTGTTTATAATGCATGTGAATGGAATCGTTGGTGACTGGATGCGATGAATGTGTCTTTGTTTGAACTGTGTTTCAGCGTGAGGGATGTTGTTGTTTATGTGCGTGGATGTGAATTACTAAACTAATGTGAGAACGACAAGGGAAAAAAAATTAAAAACCCTTTGTCTTCTTACATCTAGATTAGTAAATTAAATTTAAGGTTTTAGTTTGAATGTTAGTATGACAAGAGGAAAAAAAATAAAAAACCTCTTGCATTCTTATCCTACGTTAGTAAATTGAAACTAAAATTTTAAATTTAAATGTTGTTAGTATGACAAGAGGAAAAAAACAAACGAAAAAAACTTCTTCTTATGCCTTGTTATCCTAGGTTAGTAATATCCTTCAGAAATAGCAAAGAAAAAAGTCGTTCGCATCTCTTACGAAGCAACGCTTTTTCCTTTGCATCCTTGCCCACACCGAACGAGAGGATTCCACTCGTTGGAAAAGGGAGGAATGATCGAAACATTCCTCCCCTTCCAGTGCGGCAAAGATGATGTCGTCAACATGGAGACATTTCTTCAGTGGCGTGCCGTCATTAGANAAAAATTTCAATACATTTCACTTTGAAATTCTGTCTAACTTTAGAAATGATGATAATGGTCATCTTCTATAATTCTATAAAATTTTAAACTATTATCCAGGTACAGATGGAATCAAATTAAAGTTGTTATACAGTAACTTTCTCAGATTAAACTTATGTTTAAAGATGTTTAATTTAAGTCAAAAATTACAGAAACTTTTTTAAATCATAGAATATTTATAAACATTTTATATATGGAGTATAAAGCCATAAGAAGTTGGGCCAGTATGTTTTATATTCTTTGCATTCCTGATAAAAACAGCAAAACTTAAATTTTATCTTATATGTAGTCAGATTTCCATATTAAAAAGTCCTATATAACAAATTTTTCTGTAGAATGTTGAAAATATCTTTTTTTTTTTTTATTCACTAATGGTGCATTTTCCATTTAATGAATTTCTGTGTAACAAATTTTCCAGTGGTAATTTGTTAAATAGAAGTTTGACTGTATTTGGCAAAGAATCTTATCCTGAAGTTATTTTGTAAAGTTCAATATAGAAAAACAGCATTTCTATTCTTAAAGAAATTGAGTAGTAATAAAATTATTTACCAAATTATAAAACCAAAATATAGAAAATAATTTATTTTCATGCTTAAAAAATATCAAAAGTAATTTATAAAAATTGTACAAAGTAAAAATATTCAAGAATATCTATATTTATTTTAAANTTTTTTTTTTGGTTTTGTTGACTTACTGTAAGATGCTTGTAAAAGGCCATCCTGGCCACAGTGTCTTTTGAGAAATAAAATAAAAAAAACATCATACTTTTCTTGTTAGCAATGGAGTAGTGTCGATCTCCTTTCACGGGAAAAGTGAATTGAAATAGTTAATCGGAGCTTCCTGCCCCTAAGCTTTCTATATCATATATCTAACTCCGTTCTCGGGATTAAGGAAAGACAACGGACGGACGAGATTTTCAGACTATTCACTCACGTAAACACGAAAACACACGGACTTGAGACGTAAACACGACCTCTAGCGTCACATTTTCGGAACTTGTCCTGAATCCAGTTGCACGGCATTTAATTCTGTTTTTTGACAACAGAGGGCGATTTATTTCACACGTGTGTATTATTTTGAAATTGAAAGATGAATAGGGCGATGTAGAACAACGATGATAAATCTTTCAAGGCTAGAAATCATTCTACTTAAATTACCATGAAATATAATCGTTATTTTTCTCAATTAATTACTACATTGATATGTTTACGGAGACGATCCAGATATCGAATATTAATTTTACTAGTACTTGTTTTAAATATATTTTTACTAATTATAATTTTTATATATAAACATTATTTTACTTGTTTACATTCGGAAGTAGTACAGGCAGTTTCTTTAATTGTAAGTAATTGAAAGTATTTAATTCACTAATACTGCAACTATATATTTTTTTATTTTAGAGTTTAATATTTGTCAACTAAGAACTTTAAATACAATAAACAATTATTACAAATTTTCAAATTACTTTACTCATTAATATAACAAAAGTTTATTATTAAGTTTCATGTTTCATCTCAATTTTTCTGATTATTAACAGATAACTCCTTTATTCATACTTTTACTATAAAGGTTATTAACTGATTATTAAGTTAATATTACCAGTATTTTTTTATATTCTTGTTTTTTTCTAAATTTTTCATTGTAATATTTACATTTAAGGTAATAATGTCAATGTTAGGAATAGCATATGTTGATTCTGTTGGTAATAATTCAAATAACACTTTTAACCCAGCAATTTGTAGAAACTAAACATTAGTTAAGTGCATCATCATTAATATATAGTACATCAGAATAGTAGTATCAAATGTATAAGAAATAACTAATAAATAAAATAATTTTCTACAGCTACATTATTAGAATTTCATATTGAATATATGAATATTTATCATTATACCATTGCATTAAATAAATTCTTTATAATTTATGCATTTATCACTATAGATAACTTGGAAAAATAATCAGAAAACATGCTAAAACTTTAATAAAAGTCGTCATATCCAGTTTTTTAAGGAATCGGATCTAGTTCAAAATACATATTCTTTGCAAGATTGTTTACTGTATTACATAAATAATACCTTAAGCACAGTAATTTTCTATTAAAAAAAAATAACAACAACAACATAGAAGTTTTTACCTTGTTTTTGTTTTTCTTTTTCAAAATAAAATTATTATTAATACAAATATTTCAAATTTTACATATTAACAATACTTAATCTTGTAATCTGTATGAATTACCTCCTTAATCACTTTGGAAAATTCTATAAAATAACTCATTTAATAAATCAGTAACACAGTAAAATAAAATAATGAATGGAAAGGTAGCAATATCCCTTAACATTAATTAATTATATAATTACAGGATATATATATAAATATCCTTTAAGACAATTTCTGCAATACAGGATATGTATCCTGTATGCAGGGTTTTCTATAATTGTTGCAAGTAAACATAAAAACAATTTAATTCAAAAGTGGTCATGTACAGTACTTGTCTTTGAAATAAATGACTTTTTAAGTTAAATCAATACTAAGATGATTTGTTCTTTAAAAAAGATTTTAATGCCAAATTGTTGTTTCCATTTCAAATTTTAATTTATAATTCTTAGTCTTTTTTGATTCTGTTTCATTTTTCCTATAAATGTGATTAGAAATTAAGATTCAGATGTATAATTAAAATAATTTTTGATAGATTTTCTTTGCAAAATATTTAAATAAGTTAATTACGGTAATTTTATCTACTTTTTGCTAAAAAAAGTACACAGAAAACTAAAAACAAAACCTTCTTTTGCAGTGTAAACATTATATAGATGGTAAAGCACTTGGCAACTTATGTCATGACCTTTGTATATCTGAAGTTTTAAAACCTACAGATTGCCAGCCACATCATGTTGGAAAAGATGTTGTATTTAAAGCAATGTGGGGAGAAAGGAAATTAGTATTAAAAGGATCTATGATGGATGAAAATCAATATGATCCAGTATACTGGACAGATGAAAATGGCTCTGCAGTTTATCCGGATGTCAAAATATTTTACAAGATGATTTATGATACCATCAGCAGAAATTTAAATACATCATGCATCAATAATGATAATATGTTAACAAAATTATGGACAGCAAATATTTCAGATATATCTCATCTCTCAACTGACATGCAACATATTGCAATGAATAATATTTGGCATTTGTTGCAACAAACTGAATATTTATTTTCAAAATGTTTAGAAGATCAAAATATTTTTCCTAAAATTATAGGAAGCTGTGGTTATATTTACGCTGTTGAATATACCCAACCTCTTCAAAACTTTATGTTAGTTTTATATCCAACTTGGCAGGAAGATTTCTACAAAAGAACAGAAATAGCAAAATTATTATTAGAATATGTAAAAATGTTAGACAATGACCATATGAAAACTGAATTAGGCAAAATACATCTATGTGATGTAAAGATAGGCCACTTTGGACGCGATGTTAATGATAAAATTAAATTATTAGATGTGGATATGGTCTTTTTTGAATCTGTACTTTTGGATAATATCAGAATAACAAAAAAGTGTTCAAATCACCAAGACTGTTCATTCATCGATTGTAAAGGATCTTGCAATTTTACTTCTGGGCAGTGTTCTTTGATTGTTCAAGATGACAATCTTCAAGTAAGTACATCATCATTTTTATTTCTAATATTTAAATTGTTGGCTAAATATATTTGCCTAGAAAAACTTTTCACTTAGTCATATATTATTTGCTCTTTGATATGTTTTCAAATCACAAATAAATTGATATCTGTATTTTGAGAATCCTTTACATGGACAGATACAAATAGTATGTTAAAAAATTTTGAAAATTGGAAATGAAAAGTAGTGTATCTATTGTGTCCAGATTTTATTTATTGTGCACAACTGGCAGATGCTAGTTTGTTACTTTGAGAAATCTGAATTTGAATCTGGTTAGATACTCTAATTTGGATTTGTTGTCTTGTTTTTCACCACTATTGCAGATATGTTTGTGTAGCAAACCTATATTAACTATCCTTTACAAGAAAATGGAAAACAAAACTGGAACCAGTTGTAAATATCAAAAACTTTTTGGTGTTCTTGATCTTAATTTCAGGACAAAAGTTCTATTTTTTTCTTTCTGTTGGTAGTACACAATCTTTTGCATTTTTAAATGTAGGACTGATAAAATTTAAATGATTAGAACTAGGACAGAAATATCTTAGATGAATGGTAATTTATCACCTATATATGGTATTTAAATTAATCAAATCCAAATAGATATTAACTTTACATATACAGTATATTTAAAACTTATTTGAAATAAAAAATTCACTTTGGGATCATCTTCCCTACTTTTTTTTATGAGGTTATAATATTCTCTGATCTCTCTTCTCAAATAAAAAAATAAGATTATATGTAGTTACTTAAGAATTTATGACTAAAATAAAAACATATGTATGTTTATTTTTAATTCTTTTGAAGTATGGATACTTATAGGAAGAGAATAATAGAGAAGGGACATTAACACAAAGTATGAACTGACCTTAAGTTGTTGGCCAAGAGCCATGGAGGAGTTGTGGGTGCAAAAGTTATTCCCAGTTGGCACCATGAGTGAGTGACCAGTATAGTTATATCTAGATTAATTAATTTATTAATAGCTCTGGAAACAGAGATTGAATGGAGTCCAAGCAATGTAACTGGCATTGCATTTGCACAGTAAACAGGAATTACAGATTCAAGTCCTGCTCCAGGCCAGTGTTTACTTTTAGAATATTGTAAATTTGAATAAAAAATTAATTTATTTTCAATTATTAAATTTATCATGCAGCCTAACTGCCTACTTCTAGCCAAATTGCTTTATATCTAATTGAGCTGAGCGTGTGAAGTGAGAAAAGCTAATTTCTTTACACTCAAATGTCATTGCATTTAAATAACCTCCTCTGAAGCAATTTGACTGATCTCAGCCAAATTTGGTATGGAATAAAGTCTCTGTGAATGTCACAAGCTGTTTGGAATGAAAATCAGATCATGTCCATGAGAAATATCGAGAGAAACCCTACCAATGGATACAGTAAATGAGTCTTAATATGATCCAGTAGCTAATCAAGTGGATTGTTTGGGAACTTTCAATTCTTGTGATTGTTTTTGAAATGATTTCTTAGGTGAACATTCAGTTGATATATTAACTTCAGCTCAAGTTTCTGCTTTTGTTCATGATCTTTCTAAGCAATTTCTTCTTCCAAGATTTCTTTCCAGGAAACTTTAGTCATTCTTCAAGAATGACTAAAGTTTCCTGTTACAAGCTTGCCACTATCTACAAATCTCATATTAGTGTAATTTTAAAATGGACGACAAACTTTTGACTTACCCTATAGTTTTATTTTGTTTTATTTTTCCTGCCTTATCTATTTTTATTTTATATAACTATCTCATACAAAAAAATTGTTTATTGATGATATATAAACAAATTTCATAGATACAAAACTAAGATTAAGTTTTGAAGTTTATTTTGTGGAAAATGAATATATATTCTATCAATATACTAAAATCAAATAACTTTATTCTCATTATCGATTTTAGTATAAATATATAATAAATTAATCAGAGTTTAAAAATACAATGAATATATTTATTCTTCCCAGATCTTAGAGTATTACTACTTAATATGTAATATAATCATGTGCTAATTTTAAGTCAAAGTTTACTTTTCTATTAAATAAATTATATATTAATTAGAGTATGAAATAATAGTATCATTTTTTTATAATCTCAGATAGGAAGTACTAAGCACTTTCAATTAGTTACCAGTAATTCTGAGTGCACTTTTAAAAATTTGGAAATAAAAATAAAGTTAGTTTCATTTATTTATTTAGAAAATTTGCTGTAAATTTTAGTTTACTTCTGTCTGATGAGTGAAAAAATGTGGATGTCAATCAAAATAACAGTTACAATGCATTTTTGGTAGTAGTGGTATGTTCAAGAATTTGGGTGACAATATTTTGGACATATGATTGAATGTAAATATAACTCCTAAAAGATTTCATAATACTTTCAATGTCTTATGTTTGCAAAATTTAAGAGATTATTGTTAAAGGTATACATTTATACAAGTATTTCCCATAATATGAATAGAGCCAATGTGTTGTTTGATCTTGAATGTGTATACTCTACTTAACTAGCTAAAAATTTGAAAATTCAAACATAGGTCATATGATGATTGATTTTTATTTGTTGTTTTATAATCTGAAATTTCTTGCAAAAATGTTGGAAATTTCAAATAGATTATAACAGTTTAAAAACATCTAATTGTCTATTACATATATAGAACATATACGATGTTATGTTGTTCTTCATAATGAACATTGGCTCCATTCTTATTCTGGGAAAGACTATAGTTTTCTCATATGTAGTAATTAATGCATAAGCAACTTTTAGTAATATTTAGATTTGAAGTAACTGATTACAGACAAATTATTTTCAGAATTTTTTTCTCTATTTTCTGAAAATCTAATGTTTGGAAGTTTTAGATATATAGTAAACCCTACTAAGTTGGACAAACTTTTAAAACATTAACTTAAACCAAAAAATTAAACAAAAATTAGCAACCTTCTTTTGTCCAGTCTCCTCAACTAAGCACATTCCATTCCATATATCATTATTCCCAAATCAACCTAATATAATTTGTACAGAATATCGTGCGATTTTGTCTTCTTTGGATTCCAAACAAAACATCATTATTACAGTAAAATAAATTGTTCCAATACTGTGATGTTTTGTATTTGGTATACTCTGAAAGCAGAATATACTGTATGTGCTCAAGTCATAATAAAAACTTTGTAAATAGACTGATTTATAATTGAGCTGTTTTTTTGAAAGTGGTATAAGACCACCTTTGGAAAAAAATGAGTTAATTAAAATGATAGTTTTAGTGAGCCACGTCTGTCCTCTTTTTTATTTTTATAATAACGTCAATGGTGTACAATATCCTCATAAATTAATTAAAAGAAGTTTAACTGTAAAATGATACTGCAAGAATGTTTTCTTGAAAGTGGAATAAGTCCACTTGTAATAATCAATAATTGAAATGACTTTCCTAAAAGTCTTTATAATAGACAATAGCTAATGTCTTAAGAAGACATCATCATAAACAAGATAATAGTGTTATTGCTCAGATGAAGTGATGAGAAGTCCATTTCCTCATTCTGTTTAGTTTTCTTTTACAATCTTTAAGACCATTATAACCATTTATATACTGCTCAAGACTATTATAATGTAATAAAGAGTTGCCAGAAGAAAACTAACTTCCTTTTATATGAAATGAAATGAGAAAATTTTCTCTCAACCAAATCCATAGAAGAATAAATATCAAACATGAAAAAAATATGGATAGGTAAATTATAAATTGGCTGAAGAAATGCTGGATGAGGTTTTAAAAAAAAAGGATTACCTTATAAAATTTTTTATAAAACTTTCTATGGAAGAAAATGCACAATTAAACGTTCTTGATTTTACTTGGAAAACAAGGCCTAAAAATTTTAGCAAAATTACTGTTACCACTCTACACAACTTCAACACCTATAATAAAAGAGAAATATAATAATATGATGAGTTTACTGCCTTACATACCTTCTATTCACCATAAATACTCCATTATACTAAGTGTAAAGGAGAAATAAGATTGAAATATGGATACATTTATCATTATCTTAACAAAGCAATTTACTATTCATAGTTGTTTATTTATAAATTCTTATATAACTGAAAATATTTCTTAACAAAGTCGATTATTCATTACATGCATGTTCTCATTTTAATTGTATCTTTTTTTATGTAAAAAATAATATTTCAGAAAAGCCAACTTCAATTAAAATATAAATTTAAAATTATTTTTCATAATTTGTTGTTATTGAAAGTGGTGTAAGTCCATTTGTAGCTAAAAAAACCATTTATTTTCTTTAACAATTTTATTAATTATTATTACATAATAAAATTTAACAAGTTTTTAGTTTTAAAAACATTACCTGAATTTTTTAATGTTTGCCAATAGTTTTTAGTTGATTCAAATGTAAAATATTCCTTAAATATCTCAATGTATGTATAAATGGATTTGTACCACTTTCAAAAACAACTGCTCAATAATGTGTCATATTCATTCCTGACAACATAAAGAATTGCACTAATTTGGATTTTTGAAAATTCAAATGACCCTCATTCCCAGTTAGTCTGACTTAGTGGAGTTCTACTGTATTTCAAAAATATCTTTTAATAGTAAGTACTTGACTTTTGCCAAGCAGAAATAATCCTTGTAATTTTACTTTTATAAGAATACAAAATAATTATATTATAATTTAAATACATGTAAGAGAACTTTTATCTCTGATAATTATTCTTTTCCAAATATTTACATTATTTTACTAAATGATAATAGAACAGTTTTCATGATATTGAGTATTTATTGAATTATTAGTGAGTTTAAATGCATCTTATTAATTAACATTTGAATTATAGAAGGGGGAACCTCTCTTCACATGCTTGGAATTTCAAGAGAATAATTGTTATATTAATCTTGTTAAATTGTTGTTTAATATGTTTTTTTCATAATTTCTAAATGTATAACATATTGCTATATTTACATTGACTTTTGCTAAAATAAATTATGTTTAAATATTAATTTTTCAGAGAATATGTCGTAATATATTTTCCGGTCACATTATGAAACGTTTTGGTCTTCTCAGTTCTCCTCCAATTGATATTGCATCAAAATTACAAGATATATTAGAAAAATGTATAGAAGGTAATGCAAAGGACTATGTTTTAGATCAATTATATAAATTATTTGATAAACATTAACTAATCACTAATATAAATTTATTATTTTTTGTGTTGAATTGAATCAAAATAATTTTAAATCTGTGATAAAATAGTAAATTATTTTTTATTTTTAAATTATTTAAATTTAAACTATAAAATAAAGGAATGTTACAAAAGTTGAATTGTTAATTTTTCAAAAAATTTATCAATGTAACTGGGAATGTTTTTAATAATTAAACTACAGTATTTTCAGAAATATCTAAAAAAGTGGTGTTTAACTGAATTTTTTCATTGAGCAAAGAAGTTATTAGTTTTAAAGATATTAAAAAATAAAATATAGACATTCTTCAAAAGAGATCACAAAACAAATGAAGCTAGTAATTGCCATTCTTGTAGAATATTTAGAAGTGTAACCATATAAAGTCTATACAGATTGTTAAACTCATTTAACTTTCCTAGTTAAATGAGTTTAACAATCATAGTATGAAAAGAATTAGTTTAAACTCGTAACGTAGTGAAGCTTTCTCATTGGATAGAGGTCTAAAACAGAACTGGACATGGATCCATTAATTTTCTGTCAATACACTTACGTAGCATTGTAGATTAATTAAAATACAAACTGAGTTTAATGTACGTAATGTTTATTATTATTTGATTTGATAATGGATATGGTCATCATGCTATGCAACAGGAAATGATTTAACTAAGTCCACTGAAATTAGCGTAAACAGCTTAATAGTTAAATCCATTTAAAAATAACCATGTTTCAATAAATGAGTTAAAATTTTTTAGTGTAAATGTAGTGTAACTACTAATAAATATATCAAAGCATCAATGGCATCTTACACTGTTCAGATTTCACAGATATATGCTTACAGAATAAACATATATTTAGCAGGAGGATAGCAGTTATTTCAAATCATAAAAGCATCTTTTCTTATATAATTTTGGTTATTAATCTGAACAACACTTTTCTAAAATATTACAACATTACATGTCCAAGATACCTAAAGAATGTTAAAGCACATCAAAATGTAATAACATAAATTTGCAATTAGCTTAAAATTCTAGAATTATTTTAACATATTTCAAATAGTTTAATGTTTGAAAAAACTAAATTTTTAAAATTTGAACTAATAATAATATCACCTCATACTAAAATTTGGTAACACTTTCTGATATAACTGTTACACAGCATTCAGCATTGGATCTTGCCACAAAACTTATGTTTTGTTCATTTTATTAGCAGAAGCATTCAACTAAACAAAAATAAAACAAATATCAATCTTTTAAAGTAATTCTTCATTCAACAGAATTTTTCCAAGAAAAACACAATTTTAATTTCTTTATAAATATAAATTTTGTTGAAGCCTTACTTGGCAGCATTGGTCCATTTATTTTTGAATAGACAATCTTATCATTCATCACACTATATTAATTAAGATAAAAATTTAGCATGTTTTTACACCACAGAATTCTGATAATTTGTTGGGTGAAATAAAATTCAATGTCAGTAAAGTAGCAGTTGTGAGAAAAATGTATTTAAATCTATTGTGAGATGTAGTAGTACATTTGCTGAAAATTAAACATAAATTATATAATTATGTTTAATTTTGCATTTTTCTAATAAAATTTTTAAAGATTACCAGTATATTTACAACATATAAAATAATATTAAAATATTTGACCTCTAGTGAAAAAGAAGTTTTAAAAATAATTAAAATTAATATGACAATTAAAAATGTATGTAATAAAAATATATGACCTTGAATGCCTTGAATGAAAAATGAGTTTTGCAACGACTCAAAACAACAATGTTAAATAATCTATATAATTATTTTAAAAATATATATATATACATATTAATGTACCTATATATATATAGGCACATTAATATAGATACAATTTTCAACAGAAAAATTAATTAAATTTTTAGTTTATTTATATAATTGCTGATAAATACAAAAAGTAAAAATAAATAAACAACTAATAAGCAGCTATAAATAATCTAGCAAAATTTAATTTATACATTTCAATTAAAACATTAACTGTAAAAGTACTTTTATTAATCTCAATAGTAGTGGTATACTTCTTTTTTTAATCTAACTTTAGAAATGATGATAATGGTCATCTTCTATAATTCTATAAAATTTTAAACTATTATCCAGGTACAGATGGAATCAAATTAAAGTTGTTATACAGTAACTTTCTCAGATTAAACTTATGTTTAAAGATGTTTAATTTAAGTCAAAAATTACAGAAACTTTTTTAAATCATAGAATATTTATAAACATTTTATATATGGAGTATAAAGCCATAAGAAGTTGGGCCAGTATGTTTTATATTCTTTGCATTCCTGATAAAAACAGCAAAACTTAAATTTTATCTTATATGTAGTCAGATTTCCATATTAAAAAGTCCTATATAACAAATTTTTCTGTAGAATGTTGAAAATATCTTTTTTTTTTTTTATTCACTAATGGTGCATTTTCCATTTAATGAATTTCTGTGTAACAAATTTTCCAGTGGTAATTTGTTAAATAGAAGTTTGACTGTATTTGGCAAAGAATCTTATCCTGAAGTTATTTTGTAAAGTTCAATATAGAAAAACAGCATTTCTATTCTTAAAGAAATTGAGTAGTAATAAAATTATTTACCAAATTATAAAACCAAAATATAGAAAATAATTTATTTTCATGCTTAAAAAATATCAAAAGTAATTTATAAAAATTGTACAAAGTAAAAATATTCAAGAATATCTATATTTATTTTAAAAATTGTCTTTTTTAATCATATTATTAATTTTTTCTATAACAACATTGACATTTTTATTTTTATCAATTTTTATATAAGAACCTTTACGAATTGTTATTATAGACATCCATTCAGGTAGTAAATCAGCCATTAACTGCAAATGTTTTTCTGTGTCATCTGAAATAAAAAAAATTTGTACATTTACTATTATTATTCAGATATCATTTCTTTTTCACTTATAAAAATTCTTAATTTTTTATGATATAAACAGCATTACATATTCAAAAATAATGTCTAAATATTATTTATAAAATTATACAAACTAAATTTTTAACTAAAATTTTTAGTTTAAATCTAAAAAGAAAACTATAGAAACATTTTAAAATACCAGGCTTTGGTATTACTCCAGACAAAATATCTATGAATACCAGAAATATTTATAACAGCACTTACTGATATTAAAACTTATATAAAAATGACTTTATTTTGATCTATAATAAAAGAAAGAAATTTTGTTTCTTTTGTTTAAAGAAACTGACTTGAAAAGATCATCAAATCATCACTTTATTATTTTTTAAAACAAAGCTTTGCTAGAGCTTTACTTTCTGCTTTATGTACAGATTTCAGCAATGTTATATGTTTTTTATCAAAGCATGAATTGGCATTTAGAGGCCATAGGGAATCTATTGAATCTAATAACAGAGGTAATTATTAATATATTGAATTTGTTTATTTATTAAGTATGTCAGATAATATATTAAAAATACTTAGAGAAGTCTACGGTTTTTACTGGCTTATTGAACAAACAAATACGAATTGACCCTAGACCAGGATTGGCCAACATACAGCCCGTGTAATGGATTTATGTGGCTTGCGATTAATCTTTCAATATTAGCTACTCAAGTCAGAATAGCTCAGTGAAAAATTCTAATGCCTAAAAAAGAAAGAAAAAAAAAAAAAGGCCAGCAACTCGCTGTCTGGTTAGAGTTAACCCTCCATTACAAATCTCTTAAGTACAGCGTAGAATGTTGATAAAGCATGATAATGTGAAAAATGTATCTGTACTCTCTATGTAGAATTTAGTCTCTACGGGGTGACACCACAATGAGATCTCACACCATCTCAAAATCTTTCTAGGGCAGACTCTGGTTCGGCCCGTGAAAAAAGTTCTCTTTCCAATTTGGCCCCGAGGCAAAAACTGTTGGCCATCCCTGCCCTAGACCATCACTGATGCCCCTGGAAGTCGGCTTCTTGCAGAAACACAGATTTCCTATCATCAAATGCCATGGTATGCCACTGCTGATGGCCAAAAGTTTTTAGAACACTTGTATCTCAAGAACAATTTATTTTTAGAAATTTGGTTTTTTGGGCTACATGTTAATTTATTATTATAAGTTTGCAAAATTTCAAAGTGAGAGAAGAAATTTACATTTGAACACAATTTGTTTAAAAAATCAAGTGGACAAAAGTTTTTAGAACACTTGGAACTTTTTGTTTATTCTGTTATATTCAATGTTAATTTCTTTGTTTTTGTTATTGTTAGATATATTTACTTGGAATTAAATATTTTTGTTCTGATATGACTGTCAGTTCATCTTGTCAGATGAAATAAATAAAAAGATTCACCAGTTATCTGCTACAGGAACTCACCATAAGAAAGATAGCACAGACAGTCAAAAAGCAATTGTGTACTATTTTCAATATTGCATAACAAAAGTTGGAACAAATGTAAGTGTATTGGGCACCCAAAAGCAATAAAGAAGCGAGACGCATTATGAATTAAGTGTCATGTCCACAACAAAGTAGCAAGGGACCATATTGTCAACAGTTGAAGTATCAAAGAACAACTCAAATTAGGTACTTCCTGGCATTCTATTCATTGATTTATGGCTGACAACAACTTTTCTTATGAAAAAATGAAGGAGACTTGCAATTGACAGATATCCATACATATTAACATCTTGAATTCGCAACAACAAAAAAAATGTCAGAGAACATTCCAAGTTTAATTAATTATATTTAGTGATGAAAAACATTTTTGTTTGGAAGGTCTAGATCAGTGTTTCCCAACCTTTTTTATGCTATGCCCCATCTAAGCCTTTCTAAAATTCTTATGCCCCCTAACATATACAGCAGCTATACAGTTAACTTAAACTCCAAACAAGTCCATTTTCAAATTGCCCCACATTGGGAAACACTGGTCCAGATAATACCAAGTCTTATTTTGAGGAAACTGCAGGAATTATGGTAGGATCTCATTGTAAAAAACACCAGCAAGAAGGTGGCTTCATAATAATTCTGGGTACTATAAATAGTTGGAGAAAATTGATTATACTTTCCTTCAATAAATTTGATTATGATGTGAAATACCTGAATAACCTGAAAACATTTCTACCTTTTTGTGAAAATTCTTTTCCACAGAGGAAGCAGTTTCAGCAACAAGATAATACTGCAATCCATACTGCTGGCATAGTTAGGCATTACTTTGAAAAGAATAAAGTTTCTGTAATTAATTGGCCAGCTCATAGTCCTGACTTGAACGTTATAGAAAGTATTTGGCATTTAATGGAACAGAAAATATATGAACATGGACATTTAATACTTGTGAGGAGTTAAAATGTGATTTATAGAGATTTATAATAATATTTGTATCAAAATTATCACTGTGCTGATAATTTTGATACAAATATTATTATAAATCTATAAATCAATTCCTCCTAGATTGTTAAATGTTGTAGAGAAAAAAAGGCAGTAAAGTAAATTATTAATTGTTAATTTTGTATGAATAGTTTTCTGTATGTTTAGGGAAGTAAAACCGTTCTAAAAACTTTTGTCAACTTGATTGATGTTTATCCCATTTTAAAAAAAATTTCAATACATTTCACTTTGAAATTCTGTCAACTTACTTATAATAATAATAATAAATTAACACACAACCCAAAAATCAACTTTACAATCACTTGTTTTTGAAATACAGGTGTTCTAAAAACTTTCGGTCATCAGTGTATACATATGGCTTTCTTACAGACAATGGACACAAAATATTACAATTTTTCTCTGTTATTGTTTCAGCATTCTTCAGCATTAAGATCTAAAATGTTTTTTTGTGAATTTGTGCACTCATAATAATTTATAAGCAGAATTAACTTTTAAATGGTTAAAAATATCATTCAGATATAAATTAATAAATAATCAGATTAACAATATTTCAATATGATAGTCAATAATTTATTTTGAAGAAATATACTTCATACATAAATTACACATATTTAAAAATTTCAGTCTTCAACATCTTGGAACTAAATTGTATTTAATCAAATTTTGGAAAATGTTAAAACCATATTATTTTTAAAATATTAAACAATTAGTTTTTTTAATACATAGATTTAAGTCCATACTTTTGTAAGCGATAATCATAGAAAATTAAATCTGAATGAGAATAACAAGCATTTTAAGAAACCTGTACAATTTTCTGTACAATAAAGAAATAATCAGTGTTAGAAAAAATTTAAATAATTTTTTTTAATATAATATTTCATTGATTTCTACAAGTATTTAACTTATGGAACATTTTTTCTTAGAAAACTTGGTGGTTTTTAAATAAAAAGACACAATGTTGGTTAATAACATGTAATTTTATGTTATGCCTCTTATAACCATTTTATACTAAAGACCAAGATCATGAAATCAACTTTTTTATAAACCTTTAATGCTGTGCATTTTGGATGTGTAGCATTTGAAATTCAATTTGGAGTTCATGTGATTTCAGTAAAGTGTTTTTTTTCTCTTGATTTACCTTAAGCATTAATTCAATACTGAGAATAAAAATGCTCACTTCATATAATTCTAATAAAATTGTGAGTTAATTTCAATAATAATCCAATATGCCTAAATTTGTTGCAATTTATATAAATTATTTTGTATAATGGTTCAGACATTATCCAAATTTAAGTGAAATTCTTGTCAATTAAAATTTATTCAGCTCTTGAAGCTATTTTAATGGTAAAAATAATTTTTATGTTTAACATTTACAATTTTGGTAATATAAATATAACATTTCTAGAAGATTATCTAATTTTCAAATTATATTTAAATAGTTCCATTAAGAACAGCTTATATAAATATAATGAAGATGGCTGAAAATGAACCAAACATTTTTAAAATAAAGTTGGTAACCTTAAAAAACAGTATAGTTGGTATCTGTTAAACAAAACAATGCTTACCTAAAGAAATTGGGCAATGATAACTCTCAGAAAGTTTCTTTGAAGCTTCTTCTACTAATATAGCTGCCTTACGTTCAGTTATAAAATAACTATATCATAATTAAGGAACACACTGAAATTCTACATTAACGATGTTGTTATTCAAAAGTTTTTGATACTAGTGTATAAAATACTTAAAAATTAAATAGAACTACAAAAGAAATAAAGAAAAATCAAAAGTTGACTTCATTGAAACATTTTTATATTAATCAGACAGATATTAGACCTTATTAAAATAAGTTTAATAATTAGATAATCTTTAATAATCTAAATCATTAACACTATTAAAAAACAAATTACAGAAACAAAATAAGTCATTAATTTTGCATTATTTTATTTTGATACAAGAACTCACATCAATTTAACAAAATTTTTATCTAATTTCATATGTTGCCAATAACAATTATAACTTTATTGTTTACCTTCAAACTAAATCTTCTATCATTAGCTGGAATTTTTATAAATAATTATATATATATATATATATAAACACATTTTCATACATTTCCAGCACTTCTTTATAGCTCTAACAAATGTTTTCAGCTTGATTTACAGGCCCTCTTCAAGTTAGAAGCCTGATTGGCTTAGATTTAGATTTATTTTAATAGATTTAATCTAAATCTATTAAAATAAATTAAAAAGCTAGCAACAAAATATGGCTACAGTATTAATTACTGAACTGGCTAGAATTTTAAAAAACAAATCAGGTAAGGAAGCAGAACAACAAAAACCTGATTGCAGACATATGACAGTTGAATTTGATTCCAGGTTATGCAAAGTTTATTCTAGTATAGCAAAAGATATACAAACAGATATAGCATTTAAAAGAAACCCAACAATATTCGGATTATTAACCGATGGAAAAGATTAAATAAACAAGAACAGAGCTTGTTGAGTGTACACTATATACCTCTAGAAGATTCTACATTCAGCAGATACCTAACCTATATAGGCTCAACTAACAGATTGATTGAGGCCAGAATAAAAGAACAAATATGGCATCCTTCAAGGAAATTATAATACTGTCTTAGCCCAATATACAAGTGAGCCTCAGGTGTCCCCATGTTGGAAGATACAAAATTAAGAAAAATATTTGATATGCAAAAATTAAAAATAAGTGAAATCATCGACACTTATAAAGCAGCAAGCCAACAGTTTTGCATTAACAACAGAGAAAGCCTCAGCATATTGCAAGCTTGCAAACATTTTTATCTAAATGTACTTAAATCAATAATTATTTATTAATTTCCTCCATGTGCTTAATATTTATTATAGGTTCTTTTATATTTTCAATAAATAATTTTATTTAAATTTATAAATTTCAAGTTACAACATAAGAAATTTAAATAACCTCAAAGAAACTTTGAATTGTTCCATTTTGGAACACAGCATAACTCCTCCTAATTGGAATGGCTTCTAACCTGAAGAAGGCCTGTAAATCAAGCCAATAACATTTGTTAGAACTATAAAGAAGTACTGGAAATGTATGAAAATGTGTGTTTTTTTATATATAAATTGTTTATCTTCATAATCAGAATATTCACTTTGCATTAAATATTAATTAGCTTTTTTTAAATTTGTTTAATTGCAATTTAATGAAAATAATTTTTTCCACTTTTATTATACTAGATATGATTATCAAAATATTGTGAATAGAATATTTTGGATATTAGAACATTAAAAAAATTAAATTACAAGAATTCATGATTAACCATGGTTTTAAATAACAACTTTTATCACAAATTGAATTATTGATGTTACGATAAATTTTTATAATATTGCATTAGCAAAAAATTATACCACTGTATTTTAAAACAAATAAAAAAGTTTCTTTACATATAAGAAGCTTTAAATATAATTACAGTAGAACCTCGATTATCCGGACTAATTGGGGATGAAGGTAGTCCGGATAAGGAAAAATCCGGATAATCGAAACAAATACTTTGTCTTTTAATGATAATACCGTTTTCTTTTCGATGAGATATCGGTAATATTAAAAGCAAATACTGTATTTATATTGTGATCAAATTTTCAAGAAACAAACGTTCGTATTGAATTTGGACTACTATTGACCAACGCTAACAAACTACCTATTGTTTAAAAGGCCCTCTGGTGACTCAAGAAGACAGATTTTATAAAATAAAAAGCAGTTGAAACTGCATTTTTATGAATAAAAATTTGACAAACTATTTATCGTTTTATGACGATTAAAATTTTTTCGTCGCGTTCTCGGCTTTTAAGTAATGCATAAACCTTCGAGGCGCGAGGCCCTTCGGACCGCGAGGCATAGGCGGTGGCCCACGTCGTCCATGCCTTACGCCGCCCTTGGTCATAGAAATGATGTAATTTGAATATAAATTATTTATAAATACGTATGTCAAGTTATATTTTTATTACTACGTAAAATATATTTAAGAGTTTACGACCACTGTGCTGGGTGAGACGTTGTTGAAACAAAAAAAGTTATGCATTCCATCACGTACATAAACAGTGTCGTAATTCGCCAAGTGCAAATCAGCAAATTCGTAAAATTTTTGTTTATTTTGAACAATCCGGATAATCGAAAATCCGGATAATGGAGGTCCGGATAATGGAGGTTCTACTGTATATATTTAAAGCTTCTTATATATAAAGAAACTTTTTTATTTGTTTTAAAATACAGTGATATAATTTTTTAATTATTATTCATAATTAAATGCCAAAAATTGACTATTATTGTTTTTCTCTCTTTATTACCAAATATCATTAATATGGAATCTAACCATACTAATAATTTTATAAGAATTGGTTCAATCACTAAATACTTTATGAAACAAAAAATTTGGGCTTGCTCATAGATCAGGGTGTAAATAACAAAAAGTCAGACATAGAATACAGATTGGCTGTCAGGATTGGAGAAGGATGGCAGGCATTCTATGTGATAGAAGAATTCCACTTTGATTGAAAGGAGAGAGGTTTATAAGTTAGTGATAAGACCTGATTAATGTATGGTATTGAAACTCTGCTTTTGACTAAGAAAAATGTGAATAGGCTGAGGTAGTTCAGATGATGATGAGGTGAGCATGCAGAGTGACAAGAAGGGATAGGTTCAAGAATAGCATGCTGAGACCTTGAGAGTGGAGAAATTCTCTAAAAAATCAGAGGTGATATTATGGTGGATTTGGACATATGGACAGAAAACTTTCAGATTATGTTGAGAATTTTTGTTGTGTATTTTCTGTTATAGAACAATCCAGTTTGCAGAGAAGTTTTTTCTATTTATGTTGAAAAACTTAATGATGGAGATGAAAACCCAAAAGAAGGAGAAGAGGTAGACTGAGAAGATGATGGTTTGATTGTATGTTTGAAGATATGGCAGCTCTTAGAATTAATTGCTAACATATAATAAATATACTAACAGTTAAATTAATGCAATTTTGTATGTTAATATTTTATATTAATATTTCAACCTTCATAAGACATCTTTGCATTTTCATATATATAAAAATTTATATGTAACTTATAAATCTACATTTAATACTGATGATAATACCAAAATACAAATAATATAAAATTATTTTAATATCTTACCTAAGCAACACAAAATTGCAATAAAAAATGGAATAGCATATCTTTAAAATTAGGCTCTATCATAAAATTTTCAAATATCTCAAAAAAATTTTAAAATTGTATTCTTGACATTATATTCAAAATCTGAAATTTAATTTTTAATTCATAAATGAAGCATACTACTTTATTTATTCAAATATGTTTGAAAGGATACTTTCTAAGAATGTTTACCATTTCTGGTAACCGAGTTATCATTTCTACTCGTTTTTCTTCTTCTGGTCTGCGAGTTATTAATTTCTGCATTCGAGCTGCTTCTCTAGCTCTAATCTTTATAAAAAAGGGAAATGAAAATTTTTATAAATAGACATCGTCATCATCATCAAGTTTTAATTAATGAAATAAAAATACAATTTTAAACTTAAATCATATACAATTTAGTATGAATAGTTTAATAATCCAGTACTTATAATTTGATATTCAATGAATGTTCATTGAATAATCAAAGCTAGACAATTTTCTGAACCAGTGTTTTTCAACTGCTGGTCCAAAAAATAAAGTCACCAATCCACAGAAAAATATTTGACCATACTGATGATGGTGACATTTAATTAGTAATCTAGAGTTATTGTATGTACTTTATTATGTTTAGTAACTCTAGATAAACTTATAATTATATTAATAATTAATATAATAATATTATAGTAATTCATAGTTGCATATAATTACTGATCTGCATAGTTATCCATAAGATGAGTGGTCCATAATGAGAAAAAGGTTGAAAAAGACTGTTCTAAACTATAACATAATCAATATTGAGAACAAACTTTAAAATATAAACTTAAAGGTTTGTATTTAACATGATGAAGCTTGCACAATCAACTAACAATACCATGAAATAATTACTGTATTATTAGTATTTCAATGTGCTAGCTTTATCAAATTATCTTTTAAAACACTTTTATAACTAGTAGTATTTTTAACTCCTAACAGATTATTTTTATTTATTTGTTGAAACTGTGTCTTCTTCTTCCTTCTCGTTTCTTCTAATTCTATGTCACGACTTGGTGCATTTATCAACACTTGGCAAATAATTTCATCATCCACTTTTAATTCATACAGATATGCGTTTTGGGCTTTCTCCCCTCTTCACTCTGTTACATCGATAGGTTGTGACTTGTGTATGCAGTATCAGTCAGGCACCTTCCGTACTTCCCCCTCCCCCTCTTCTCCCGACTTGACGGCCTCCCCCACATGCCTCGTAACTTGTAACGTGTCACTCCCCCAAGTGCTGCACACAGCCTAAGCATTGACATTCATAAAAACTGGCTACAATTATTAAAATAGAATGTTTATACAGTCGAAGGCGCGACTGTGTGCAGCACTCGGGGAAGTGACACATTACAAGTTACAAGGCATGCGGGGGAGGCCGTCAAGTCGGGAGAAGAGGGGGGGGAAGTACTGATACTGTAGGTGCCTGACTGATACTGTATACACAAGTCACAACCTATCGATGTAACAGACTGAGGAAGGGCAAAAGCCCGAAATGCATATCTGTATGAATTAAAAGTGGATGATGAAATTTGCCAAGTGTCAATAAATGCACCAAGTCGTGACATAGAATTAGAAAAAACAAGATTATTTTTAATTAAAAATTTTATGTTTAAAGAATGCATCTTTTTTTCACATAAGACATATATACTGTATTTTTGCAGATTGTCTAGCATGTTGGTCTATCTGGGAGACCATGAAATCATATATTTCCATACAGTAAAAATGGCATGCCAGTTTATATGAGGTTATATATCCTTTTTTAGAGGCACTTTAAAAAAAAACAGAGTTATGCCATGTAAAAACGAACACTGTTTTTATTCTAAAACTGTGAAACTCAGTAGTATATCAAAAATTTTGATTATACATTTAATTTCTTCATTTTATCTTCTTTCTAACAATGTAAAATACTCATGGAGTTCCAAAAGTGCTTCTTTTATGTTTATTTTATGGTAATTCGATTAGAAAATGAAAACATAAACAAATTAAATTAAGAAATTCACCATAAAATATCTCAACTTACATCCATTAACATTGGCTTTGTGTGAAATTTGAGATATGATGTTATTTTTAAGGTCAGGGTAGATGGTCAGTGTAGCCCACACTGATTAACTACTACTATTACTAATGTCAAAAAGTCATTAATTGTTTTATTGTCTTGTAAACAAAAACTCACTTCCTGGTTTTAAGTCAGTCAAATTACAATGCTATTATTTTATTATACCCAGAAGAATGTTTTCTTTAATGTTTAATTAACAGTTAGTTTTGTTAAATCTGATTAATTTTATATTTTAGTCACAGTTTAACTGGCATGCCGGTAATCCCCATTTTATGCAGCATGCTGGTCATTCCATGAAAATATGGTATGACTTATGTATAAATAGTGATACAAACTAGCTAAGTTTCTTTCATTCTTGTGTAAATTACTATTATTTTTCTTGATTGTAATTCCTATTTACAAAATTTAACAAAGAAATTTCTTGTTTATTAATCCAAACATATGCAACTCAAGAGGCATTAAAATGATTTTTAAAAAATTTCATTAATAATTATAATGTGTTTTCTAGTCTAAAGATATGAATAAAAGGAATATAGTAAGATTAACAGAAGGTAAAGTTACTTAGAATGTTTATATAAAGATAACTTAAACATTTTTAATATAAAGTCTTAATTTATTCTTATTAAAAATAAATCCTATAAATTTCAGATTCAAAGTAGATCAGATTCATTTTTAGATTTTGTTCAGTCATCAAATTTTGTTATTATTATTATTCTTTCATTGTGCTAAATAAGCTGCAATATAATCAATTCTCATGACTTTTAAAAGAAGAGAGTACAGTAATACCCCAAACTTACGCGATAGGTGGAACCGAGCAATAACCGCGTAAGTCGAATTTGCGTAAGTCGGGGTATAATTTCTCAATGTGTGTAAAATCCAAGTGGGATGTATGTAAGCTAATAAATGTTCTCGTTAATCTTATCTCGTCTTTTGATTCATTCGCGGTTGTAAGAAATCACCACATAGATTCTCCCAAGTCTCCATAGATATAACAAACACAGAAATAAATAACACAAAATAAATTGTAGCTATGTGTCGATTCCGCGCGACACGTCCGAACATGTAAGTTGAACAATAATGTGGAAAGAATGAGTAATCAAGAGTTGCGTGGTGCTCAAACAAAAGACGAATCGATGAGATTTGAAAATCGCGTAACTCCGGGTTCGCGTAAGTCGAGGTATCACTGTATCACATGTTAAACCCATTCAAGAAGGTCAATCTCATTTGGAAAATTGAGTCTTCCAGACAAAATACTGGTTTAGAATATGAATGATATTTAATAAAACAGTAAAATTCTATATATCTATTTATTTACCTTTTCAATTAAAGCTTGAGAAACTCCTTTAAGTAATCCTTTTTGCATTGTATCTTTAGGTTTAGTAACAGATTCAGATTCTTTGTGATTTTCTATTACACTCTGTAAAGCATTTTCCACCTGTATTTTATAAACAAAATTCTTAACATTTCAAAAAATTCTGAAAAAAATTAAATATAAAACATCAAAAAAATATTTTAAAAAATTATCCTTGCTATTAACTGTTAATAGATCATGTTTAAAAATAATATACACTCTAAAATATTTTTTTTCTAAATTTGTTATTTAAATAATACTTAAAGAATATCTAGTAATGTGTTGAAGATCATGCATATGTTTGCATATATGCATATGTTTGCACTTTCAAACTATGTGCATCACATTCATATTTCACATACAGGGATTATACATGATCTTTATATATTTTTATACTAACAATATGTATTACTGATGATTATATATTTAAACTAGTAAATAGAGTGATTAATATAAAAGCAATAAAATAATTTTTATATTATTTTAAGGAAGTTTAATTCTCCACATTATTATTTGCTACAAAAAATTGATATTTCATTATATCTTGACCATTTCATATATTATTATGGATACCTATAATTGCAACATAGTGGCATTATATTTATATTACAAACTGTAATTTATCATATCTTCTCTAAGATCACAGTATATAAGAAATGTTTGATGGTTAAAAAAGAAATAATTCATGAAATAATTTTTTCAGATTGTTTCTGTAACTAGAGTTTAGTAAAAGTATAAAAAAATAAACTTCTTTCTTCTGTCAAAATAAATTAAAAACAAAGAATATTTACTGAAATGTACAAATAAAATTAGTAAAATTATTTTTAAAATAAATTTATAAACAACTTCATAACATGAATGCATAAAACTATTGTTTTAACATATAACATATGCTCTTTTACTTTAATATTTCATTTACTGATACAAAAAAAAATAACAGTAGATCTCATTTTATAGAAAAATAATAATAATAATTACTCGAATAGTAACTTTGTCTTTAAGCAATTTAAAAACATCTTGTGCTGTTGAATATTTTTTCACATCTGGTGGTTCTGGTAGAGAAGCAATTGCAATATCAGGTACTTGATCCACTGGGAATGAAGGATGCCATCGTAAAATCTCATCACTTGATATTAAGATTGGAGGATTTAAATTCAGTAAAAATTTCTAAAATAATACAAGGAAAAAAAAATGTTAAAAATAAATTTTAAAAAATTTTACAATATAAAAATATTACCTTATGGTGGTCTTTAACAAACTGCAAAATTTTGTTATTAAAAATCTGTCTCCTTTCTAATAAACATGTTGCATTCATTACTTTAAATGACTCCAGACTTTTATTGTTTGTTTCAGGTAATGAATCTTCATTAACTATTTAAATTATATAAATCAAATTTAATTACTAAATGTTAAATGAGTTAAATGTTGAAAGTGAAAGTAGTGTAAGTCACTTTTCTTCTACTTCAAGAAATTTAAACTTAAAGCACCAATTTAAAAATTACTGAATGTTTATTGTTAAGTGCTTTTACCTGTGGGTAAATAACATAAATACTCTTAATTCTTTACAAAAAATATATAAATAATGCAGTCAAGAACTGAAACTCAGCATCAGTAGATTTTTGAAAAAACTGACTTACACCATTTTTGCTTTCAGGGGTTCAAATGTTACAAAATATTTTTATATTTAAATTATAAAATAATTAAACAATAATATTTATATATAAATTGATCATGGATAAATCTATTAGTAATAAATTCTCTTAAAAATTATTGCCATAGTATATAGCATGGTGGCCAAATCTTATCATAACAGGAACTGTGCATCACCCATAGAAATACACAAGAACCATATCCTCTACTAAAATGGTATTTCATATTATACTGTATATAGTTAAAATACTATAGTTTCTCACTGTTACTTTATTGTTATTTCATGACCTGTTAGTAAATGTTCATTTAACTCCTTTGACTTTATGAACATATGAACACAAATAGCCTTAGTGTTCAGTTACCTGTTCAAAGTTAAAGTTTGAGTCATGCTTACAATCTGTGTGTACAGTGTATCAGATTACATAACAGTCAACAAATCTGCAAAAATATTACACATAATAAAATAGTGTATACATAGTTTATAAAAATAAATAGTTTGACCAATATAGGTAGATACATTTTCTAATAATAAATCCATTTTATTATATTGAATATTTAAATAAGTAGTGTAATATAGTATAATAGGATATTAAATACAGTGATGCCTTGTACTTCAAATTTAATTCATTCCAGGAGGTTGTTCAAACTCTGAATCATTCGAAGTCCAAATCAGTTTTTCCCATTAGAAATAATGGAAAGCAAATTAATCCATTCCCAGACTCCGAACAATACATATTTCAATAAAATTATAACAGTATATATACATCATTTAAGGTAAAAATAACAAATTAAAGTGCAAAAACCATAAATAAAATACTTAAATAAAATGAAAACTGTATTTATTGGTAGCATTTGGTATGGACTTCTGCATCTTAACAAAGACATGTGATTTAATTACAACAGTTGTGTAATTTAACATATTATAGATAATGTGAGATTTTATCCTTTATTTAGAATCTTAGTTTAAATTCTTTACTTCACATTTTGCTTGAGTAAAATCAAGTTGTAATGTCTCTGGATAAAAAGCACATTGGGCATATTTATGCTTTATGACTTTTGAATAGAATATAACACTGTACAAACAGTAAAAACAATTGTAATTTGTATGGGAAAGATGCTCCTAAACTTCAAAAGTCAAATGTAGTTTAAAAAGTTCCATCCAAAAAATTTTGAACTAAAGGATACAAAACCTACAGGGTGCCCAAAAGCCGTCAACAAAGAAAAATTGCAGGAAGAAATTGTGTAAAATCAATGAATAACACACAGTACAGTATATAAAACCAAACATACCAAAAATAAAGCAAAAAAAGCACTGCAAATATAAGAGCACAATGCAAGAGTGAGAGGAGAGATGACTTGAATACATAACAGATAGTTTGAGCACATTTTTCACTGCACAGTTCAAACATTAAAGCATTATTCAAACTCTGAAGTGTTCAAAGTTAGAGTCGTTTGAGGTACAAAATACCACTGTATATTTAAATATAAATTCATTATTATACTGTATATGTCAGCATATAACACAACCTCAAGATTTCCAGCTGAAAAATTTTATTTAGATCTATACCCATTGTAAAAGTCAATCCCAAAACAGATGTTACTAGTAAGCTAGAACTAAAATGTGAATATGGTAGCCTACGACAAACACAAATAATAAGGCTACACTATTTTCACCATGAGTCTAATTATAATACCATTCACAACATATGATATACAGTAGAGCAGCGTTTATCTGAAATGTCAGTTAACTGAAAGCATTTCAGTCAACAAATTTAAATTTTCGCTAGTGCTGTGGCGCTGCAATCTTTGGCTATATCTTGGGCTACTCCAATATTTTTTTTGTTGATGTGTATGTTTTAGCTGGAAGCCCTGGCATTTTTGTGTGGTGTTTTTCTGAGAACTGTGTGTCATGCTGAATCAAACATTTTTGATACTAGATCAACTTCTAAAGTATATATTTTTTGGGTTTNGTATGTTTTAGCTGGAAGCCCTGGCATTTTTGTGTGGTGTTTTTCTGAGAACTGTGTGTCATGCTGAATCAAACATTTTTGATACTAGATCAACTTCTAAAGTATATATTTTTTGGGTTTTATATTTTTCAATATATTTATTTCGTTTGTAAAAATAAAGAAATAATTTTTAACGATACAATAGCCACGATTATTATTTTAAAAGTTTACATTAGGCTTAACATCGACGAAAATTCAACACGAAGCAACACGCAACAAAGAAAAATTTCAACACAGGATAGGTTAATATATTTTTTCGTACATAATCGATTATCCGAAAAATAAGTTATCCGAACAATCCCAGTCCCCAATTGATTCGGATAAATGACTCTCTACTGTACCTAACAAAAAAAAAGAAACGTGAAAAACAGGATTTAAGTAGAACCCTAAGCAACTACTTGAAATCGTCAACTAATACTTTAAGTAAATTTAATTTGAATTAAGTTTGAGTTTGGTCAATGTAAGTGTTCTCTTCAGAAAATCTCTCTGGCCTAAAGCAAGGTTTAGCAGTAGTCTGAAAACATTAATTAATATTTTAATTCTGTTGCTGCAAATAAGGCTTTTGGTTATGGATTCTTTAGATGATGTTCGAGCTTCAAGTTCAATAGAAAATATAAAAGTAATAATTGAGATTTAAAAAATGTGATAAAATGTTCCATAAAATAAACCACACAAAGTAATTAAAGACAGCATTTGATTGTAATTTGTAAAGATTTTTTTATAACAGAAGTGATAAATAAAAAACATTATCATCAAAAAATACAAGAAGTATAAAAAATATAAATTTAATAAGTGCAAGAGTAAACAAATTATAATCATAAATAAGAAAAAGAAAGAAAAAATCAAAACAAATCATGTAAAATGGACAAATATTTACCGTCACAATGTCAGGCTGTAATTTTTAATCATATTTTAATTTATTTCATTTAAAATATATGCTCTCCACCTCAATTTAGTAGTGGCTTGCACCTGTATATCATACTTTTCCTTTAACAATGGAGTTGTGCCAGTCATCTATTAACTACTTTCAGGGGAAAGTTCTGAATTGAAATAATGTGATTTCAGCTTGCATCAGAAGTTCATATATAGTTAATCAGGGGTCTCCTGCTCTTACAATTTCCATATCTGGTCGCATCTTTCATCTATCAAACTACATTCGTGGATTCAGAAAAGACTGACAGATGAGATGGACGGACAATAGTGGGAATTTATAGGTTGACAATTTTTTTCAAATTACAGCACAATAATATTAAAGTATAAATAAAACTAATAATACAGCTAAAAATAATAAAATTTAAATGGAATTATCAACCTAATAAGTATCAAGTAAGTAATATTCAATTTATTAGGTTTATAATTTTACTTAAAAATGAAATAACTTACTTAAATTCTGGTCCGATTTATAATGAAAATTTGGTGATATTGTTAACTGATAATTACTATTATGTGAAAGCTCACTGTTAATAGAATTCTTATCTTTCTCTTGCTGAAAAATATAGGCATTTGGAAAAACTGTTTTTAATTGTCCTAAATGTGAAATGGTGAAATTTCTGAAATAAAAAAATTTAAATCACAAAATATTTCTTAACACTTTTACAAGGGTTTCTATGAATAAATTCATTACGATTAAAGTAATGTAAGTGCATTGGTATATGAATAATCAAATCATAAACATTTATTAAAGTGAGTTGATTCACATGATGACAGAAACCGTAGGATGAAAGAAAAACAGTATTATTGTCCTTCTTTAATTTTATGAAATGGTTTTGATTTTAATTAAATACATATGATATAATTATACATAATATGAATATTATGTATAAATATCATATCATATCATGTATTTAATTATTCAAATTATAAATACATATTTGATGATTTTATAACATTTCTTCATAAAAATTCATTATGTTATAATACACTTAGTATTAAATTATACAAGCATTATTTACATTGAAAAAATATTCATATAACTCATAATAAATTATAATGCACCATGTTTTCTATAATGCCATGATCATTTAATTTCAAAATGAATTTTTTATCTAGTATGACTGTTGATAAGTATGACTGTTTAAATCACAAATGGCAGAGAAAGAATAAAAATATTTTATAAATCCTAATATCTCCTAATTTCAAATGATTCATATCAAAAGATATGAAATGTAAACAGAAAAAGAGATTTGTTAAGATGTAACAAATTACAAATAAGTAAAAAAAGTATCTCTTCAATTTCATAATTGAAGAGATACTTTTTTACTTATTTGTAATTTGTTACTTTTTTTTTACTTATTCAATAACCTTGAATTATGAAATTCAACATTATTGAAAACTGCTATTATAAAGTAAGATATCCTCCTATTTTTCAAAATGCAACTCATTACTCTGAATATTATAATAGGAATTATTAATAGAAATAATTTAACTTCTGAATTATTTAAGTAAAATATTTAAAGAAAAACTTACTTTTTGGTCATTTCTTGCACTGAATTTTTAAGTTTTGAAAATGTACAAGTTTCTTGTCTATTATGTAAAAGACTAATAACCATGTCAGTGCAATGAAAAATTTCTACAAGAACTTTATATTTGTAAGGCAATAACAGTGATGTAGTTGAAACAGCTGCCAAATTATGGTATTTCTGATAAGCAGGTACTTTGTTACTAAGAAAAAAATTTTTAAAATTAATATTAAAAATAAATTATACATGATTATATACAATAAAAATGTCTTTACATATCTTACACAATTTTTACTAGATTTAAAAGAAATATCATATCCTCCACATTGTAAATTTTTGCTCAATCTTTTATCATAACATCAAAAATTGTCTCACATTTTACTTAAATTCTCTTTTACATCTTTGATATGTTATTGTATACCATATGTTCCATTCCATTTAATTTAATATGCTAACTTCTTTCTATAATTAATTTTCATACATTAAGGAAGGAAGAGAGGTTAAATATGTTATGAAATTACCTTTCATAAATCAATTGTCTCAAATTTCATACATACAGTACACTAAATTTGAACAAAACAATAGAGTAACCATGTAAAAACAAGAGAAAAAGTTGTTATAGTAAATTATTTCATAACAGTTAAATTTTAAGAAAAATAAGCTATATTAGATTTCCTCTGATAAAGTTAAAATGGAAACTTCAATAATTATAGTTACTAAAATATGCAGGTAATTAAAAACACAGCATTACAATATAAGTTATAAAAGAAAACCAGCTGATTTTGGCATTTATTTTTATTAAATTATGCAAACTTTAAAACTACAAAATTATTATGAATTAAAGTAAAATGAGTTTTGGTGTTAAAATATAATTAAAATTTTAACATAAATAAATATTTTTATGAATCAAACATTTTTGATATTTTAACATATCATCTGTGGGAAAAACTTAATTAAACATAACTAATCAAAAACTGATTTTTACTTCTGTTTTCACTAATNGCAGCGTTTATCTGAAATGTCAGTTAACTGAAAGCGTTCAATTTGGACTGTGTCATGCTGAATCAAACATTTTTGATATTTTAACATATCATCTGTGGGAAAAACTTAATTAAACATAACTAATCAAAAACTGATTTTTACTTCTGTTTTCACTAATGTATATAGCATAAACTCGGTTCATTTTATTTTACAGAAATACATCAATGACTATTACAATTATAATATAATACCTTAATTCATCATTTTGGTTCAATTTCTTTTGTATTTTTTTCAATTCAGTTGACTTAGTGCTTATTCTGGATGCAGCTTCTTTTAATAATTTTAATTTTTCAGCTCTTGTAGCAATATCTTTTTTTTCTGGACATTTTATCACTGGAATTTTATCTGCAATACTTTAATGAAAAAATAATAATTTAAAATTGTTATCAACAAGTTATTATATTTAAAATTTTTTCATACCTTGTTTCGTTACATAATTGATCAGTTTTATTGTGTAATTTCTTTGGTGAATAATTGGCAAGAAGACATTTTTGAACATCTGCTAATTTATTAAATTTTGATAGGTGTATGCGCATTTCCTCCAATGTTAGCTTTTTCTAATAAATAAATTATTATAAAAAATTTTTAATTTACTTTATTAAAATTTTTAGAAATGTGTAATCTACCTCATTTTCAGAAGAGCTTTCATTTTTATTTTCAGTTTTCTCTTGAAATATTTGATTCTTTTCTGACTTTCCTTTAATCTTCTGATTGTCAAAAAATACTTTATTTGTTTCACTTGATGACAATTCAGAAAATGATTCATTAAGCTGAGAATTATCCTAAAAATAAATAAATAAATTATAAAAAAATATTTTTATATATATACAATTTAGTATGAATAG